TTTGACTGATATTAAATTAAACAGTTCAATTTGTGGCAGCATTGAGAGGCTGAGTTTGCGACAATGGGGCTTTGTGTCCTCAAATACATTATGTAAATGTGCGGCGACGGCTTCAGTGTTCTGTGCTGACTTTGATTGTCCCCTCTCTTCGGCACGCGATGCTAAATAAATAATGGATTGATCAATGAAATTACATGTTTCACCGTATGACGTATGCAGTTTAGCAAAGTTGTGCCTGAAACTGTGTTTAGGCACACAATGAGGCACCCTATGTTATTATTTTATACTTATTTATGATAGGAATATTTTATTTGTTACTGCACTCTTTTAAACGGGCATATCTTGTTATGCCATTAGGGCCCATAAAAAATATTTCAGGACTTTGGGATTTGAATCCTCATACTAAAAGAAAGAAAAAATGGTTTGTGAAGGCATGTTTACCTAGATATCCGCCAATTTTTTTTTACATAACTATTTTTATCTTGGAGGGTTTTCAACCTATGATTTTGAAACATTGTGAGCATGTTAACGTACACAAGGCCTATTACAGAAAAAGAAATTAAGTTGGTCGGCCAGAAATTTCAAAATGGTAGCCGTTTTACTATTTATAACTCGAAAATAGATAAGTTTATAAAAAATGTTTTTTCTTCCTTTTAGTATGAGGACTCATTTCCCAAAGTCCTGAAACTTTTTTTATAGACACCATGTATAAAAGATTTATAAAAACTTCTTTGTACCTGAAAATAATTAATTTATAAGCGATTTTCAAGTAATGTGGATGTCAAAAATGAGGTTATCGTGGTTCCTTGTAAAATCCACGAAGGTTGGTACTGACTGTACAACTAACGACGGGTGCAGTGCACGCTGCAGGGTTGGGTTACATTAGTCGTTTAGGACCTGTTACGTGAGGTGATACCGACTGACTGCCGGAGCTGTACAATTAACGACGGGTGGAGTGCGGGCTGCAGGGTTGGGTTACATTAGTCGTGTAGGACCTGTTACGTGAGGTGATACCGACTGACCGCCCGAGCTATACAACTAACGACGGGCGGAGTGCAGGCTGCAGGGTTGGGTTACATTAGTCGTGTAGGACCTGTTACGTGAGGTGATACCGACTGACTGCCCGAGCTGTACAACTAACGACGGGCGGAGTGCAGGCTGCAGGGTTGGGTTACATTAGTCGTGTAGGACCTGTTACGTGAGGTGATACCGACTGACCGCCCGAGCTATACAACTAACGACGGGCGGAGTGCAGGCTTCAGGGTTGGGTTACATTAGTCGTGTAGGACCTGTTACGTGAGGTGATACCGACTGACTGCCCGAGCTGTACAACTAACGACGGGCGGAGTGCAGGCTGCAGGGTTGGGTTACATTAGTCGTGTAGGACCTGTTACGTGAGGTGATACCGACTGACCGCCCGAGCTGTACAATTAACGTTGGGTGGAGTGCAGGCTGTAGGGTTGGGTTACATTAGTCGTGTAGGACCTGTTACGTGAGGTGATACCGACTGACTGCCCGAGCTGTACAACTAACGACGGGCGGAGTGCAGGCTGCAGGGTTGGGTTACATTAGTCGTGTAGGACCTGTTACGTGAGGTGATACCGACTGTCCGCTCGAGCTGTACAACTAACGACGGGCCGAGTGCAGGCTGCAGGGTTGGGTTACATTAGTCGTGTAGGACCTGTTACGTGAGGTGATACCGACTGACTGCCGGAGCTGTACAATTAACGACGGGTGGAGTGCAGGCTGCAGGGTTGGGTAACATTAGTCGTGTAGGACCTGTTACGTGAGGTGATACCGACTGACCGCTCGAGCTGTACAACTAACGACGGGCGGAGTGCAGGCTGCAGGGTTGGGTAACATTAGTCGTGTAGGACCTGTTACGTCAGCTGATACCGACTGACCGCCCGAGCTGTACAACTAACGACGGGTGGAGTGCAGGCTGCAGAATTGGGTTACATTAGTCGTGTAGGACCTGTTACGTGAGGTGATACCGACTGACTGCCGGAGCTGTACAACTAACGATGGGCGGAGTGCAGGCTGCAGGGTTGGGTAACATTAGTCGTGTAGGACCTGTTACGTCAGGTGATACCGACTGACCGCTCGAGCTGTACAACTAACGACGGGCGGAGTGCAGGCTGCAGGGTTGGGTTACATTAGTCGTGTAGGACCTGTTACGTCAGGTGATACCGACTGACCGCCCGAGCTGTACAATTAACGACGGGTGGAGTAAAGGCTGCAGGGTTGGGTAACATTAGTCGTGTAGGACCTGTTACGTGAGGTGATACCGACTGACCGCCCGAGCTGTACAATTAACGACGGGCGGAGTGCAGGCTGCAGGGTTGGGTTACATTAGTCGTGTAGGACCTGTTACGTGAGGTGATACCGACTGACCACTCGAGCTGTACAACTAACGTCGGGCGGAGTGCAGGCTGCAGGGTTGGGTAACATTAGTCGTGTAGGACCTGTTACGTGAGGTGATACCGACTGACCGCCCGAGCTGTACAACTAACGACGGGTGGAGTGCAGGCTGCAGGGTTGGGTAACATTAGTCGTGTAGGACCTGTTACGTGAGGTGATACCGACTGACCGCCCGAGCTGAACAATTAACGACGGGTGGAGTGCAGGCTGCAGGGTTGGGTTACATTAGTCGTGTAGGACCTGTTACGTGAGGTGATACCGACTGACCGCTCGAGCTGTACAACTAACGTCGGGCGGAGTGCAGGCTGCAGGGTTGGGTTACATTAGTCGTGTAGGACCTGTTACGTGAGGTGATACCGACTGACCGCCCGAGCTGTACAACTAACGACGGGCGGAGTGCAGGCTGCAGGGTTGGGTAACATTAGTCGTGTAGGACCCGTTACGTGAGGTGATACCGACTGACCGCCCGAGCTGTACAATTAACGACGGGCGGAGTGCAGGCTTCAGGGTTGGGTTACATTAGTCGTGTAGGACCTGTTACGTCAGGTGATACCGACTGACCGCTCGAGCTGTACAACTAACGACGGGCGGAGTGCAGGCTGCAGGGTTGGGTTACATTAGTCGTGTAGGACCTGTTACGTGAGGTGATACCGACTGACTGCCCGAGCTGTACAACTAACGACGGGCGGAGTGCAGGCTGCAGGGTTGGGTTACATTAGTCGTGTAGGACCTGTTACGTGAGGTGATACCGACTGACTGCCCGAGCTGTACAACTAACGACGGGCGGAGTGCAGGCTGCAGGGTTGGGTTACATTAGTCGTGTAGGACCTGTTACGTGAGGTGATACCGACTGACTGCCCGAGCTGTACAACTAACGACGGGCGGAGTGCAGGCTGCAGGGTTGGGTTACATTAGTCGTGTAGGACCTGTTACGTGAGGTGATACCGACTGACTGCCCGAGCTGTACAACTAACGACGGGCGGAGTGCAGGCTGCAGGGTTGGGTTACATTAGTCGTGTAGGACCTGTTACGTGAGGTGATACCGACTGACCGCCCGAGCTGTACAACTAACGACGGGTGGAGTGCAGGCTGCAGGGTTGGGTTACATTAGTCGTGTAGGACCTGTTACGTGAGGTGATATCCGACAATCTCAGATCGGATTGATCGCCGGACTTGTCTAATGACTTGTCCGACAACTGTTTAACGACTACACACCTTTTGTCCTCGCTCCCGTGTCACTCGCCGTGTTTATTTCTCAGCCTAAGAATTTACCTCGCCCCGTCGTTATTTCCAGCTTTCACCCATTACTCGCAGTGTCTACGAATCAATCTTACCCCTTCGCCTGGAATAATTCTCGTTTCATGTTTAACGATTTAGAAAGCTAGATTGGTAATGTGAGATGCAGTACTTAACGTGTTGCTTATATTGTTTTTTGTAGTGTTAGAGTAAATGCGACATGCAATTGATTTTTAGTAAACAATATTATGGTTAGAATATTATGTAACTCTCCATTCTCCAATTATTTACATCTTTTCAAAGCAATCGCTTGTGGTACGTATTGCCATTAGCTTATCTAAGTTCTAGTTTATTTTTGATTATCTACTTAATTTTAAATATTGGTTCCACTAGTTTCATTTTACAATGCATTTTTACAAGTAGATCCCATGTTAAAGTACCATAAAGTAATATAAGAGTGGCATGGAAAGCTGTTATGTGAGAAGAGATTGTAATCATCAAGGGTGTTTTGCAGTAAATTCCAATAGACCTTGCTTGAATGTAAAAACTTTATATCTGTAAAAATCTACGCCTGTCAGTTGTGTTTTTTAAAAGTGTCAACAATATAATTGTTTTATTAAACATTAACTGTAAAAAGTACAACTTCAAAAGTATTTTTTTCCAATTTGGAAAGAAAAATGCTGGGAAATCTATTGATCCTTTTAAACATATTATTCAATCATCAAAATTACTTTGCATTTAATTGTCGCTTGTTTTACTCACTCAATATATAACCCATATTGTCGTGACACCTAGTGCAATGATCATATGATGATCGTCTAGCTTGTGTTACACTTATCGTGCTGCGTTATGGTGAACCACCCCTTCAATCCCCGCCTCTAGTGAAGCCATTAAATCCATTAAGTAATAAACCGCCGCCAACATTCACGCTTGGGCCGTTTCTTTCAGAGCCCTAGCAAATAACTTGATTCTCCTTTATATTTAACATTTCCTGCTGGTATCCACCTTCAGGGATAACTCAAATATTTATTTCAAAATTAACAATTTATTTTTTAATCTGAAATGAAAGAACGTTAAATATATTTATTTTACAGTGACATAATTTACTGATATTTTATTATCTTACGTTTGTTATACTTTTTTGTAACAATAAATTATTAAAACTAATTTTAATATTAATTAAAAAGTAAATTACGCATTTATAACATAATGAATAAAACTGAAACACTAAACCTCGCACGTCAAAGAAGTTTACATAGCTATACATAGATATGCTTTTAAAAGTTGAAATTTGGTGACTGGTTTACCTTAGTATGATTCTAATATCAATGTTTTAATTGCAGGGATCTTCAAGGCAACAACCTTACAGTGGTTTTCGAAACTGACTTCGAAGGAATGTCCAGCTTGAGGATTTTGTAAGTTTCTTTATATTAATATGTATATACATTGTATTAAATTAGATAAGATACAAGCATATTTTGTTATAAATTTTCTGTGATCCAATAAAATCAATTGCATTGGCCAACCAATTACTTTCTTCAAGTTTGATTACTATATCAGTTGGACCAAGATTGCATGATTATGTGCTTAATTAGTTCTAGTTAAGTTTCAGTTTGACTTACCTAGGTTAAGTAGGCCTACTTAGTTTTGTAGCACTGTAAAGCAAGTTGTGGTCCAATCTACATACAAAGAGGCGGTCCGCTAATAATAAACTCAGATTAAATAGTTATTTAAGTATTTTACATTGATAAAATGTCCAAAGTTTCCAAATAAAATATTACTTGATTTATTGCCGATAGTAAAACGTAAATTACGTAAGTTTAACGGAGATTCGTATTCCCTAGAAAAGTATTTGAATTTTTCTGAGAAAGTTTTTAGTATAAAGTAAAAATGATCGCTGACGCTTCGTTAGGTAGGCGAAGTCCAAAGTTTTACCACCAAGCTTATCGGTCTCGTCGTGCTTCGTTGATTATTACGATAATTGTTGAAATAAATTTTACTGTAAGTACTTTACCTCTCCTGACTATTCGGGAAAGAAAGGTTGATAAGTTAATGAACATTTTTAAAAGGAACTTTGTAGAACAGATAAAAAATTCGGTAAATTCATAAAACGTTGGTAGCATTTGAATATTATCAGTTGTTATAAGGGTAGGCTTGGACACTGTAAACTGTAACCATACATGTCATTGAAGCACATATAACAGTAGTAGAAGCCGAACCAAGGCAATTTCTCGAATCTGAGTAAATATGATGCGTTATAGTCTAAAATGTAGATATCACGTGATAGGAAAAATGTAGTAAAATATCAATTTGGAATCTCTTTAAACAGAATGTATCCTGAAAATACTAGTACAGTATTCATCAGTACCATTTATAAAAAATACACGAGAGGCACGAGCATGGGTCGGAAGTGAGGACTGGCATGCAGCTTGCACATTACATGAGCTTTACTCGTATAATGAGAGGTGTTTGACCACCACACACACTCACACATTGATATGCATCACTGATGACCGATGATTGGGACACATGGACATATCCTACGTACGATGTCGTACTTGTGTCTTTCGTGTTACCCCTGCAGGTATATATTGATTATAATCCAAACTCAAAGTCTTATTTTGCTTTTGTGTTAATCGCACGTACAGGCAAGAAGTAAATTAAAACAATGTTTTCTGTCCGGGTGATGAGTTGTTTGGAAACACCATCTTTCATTATATTACCAACCATACTTTGTATCCATATGCTGGATCCACCGCATATACCGAGATCCCACTGATGCCATTGCACGTATGGACAGTTAGTACATCGCAGTGCGCTACATTCCAGGCCGTCGTCGGTACGTCACCACCACACCAGGCCCGAGACGCACTAACGGTCAACGATGATTTAATATCGTTGCTTTACGTGACATTTAGAAACCAGTTTCGCCATCGTAATTGCAATAAATTGCTTTCCATCACCATGAATTGGCGATCGCCATTCATTTTATTGGCCAGCTGTTCTTCCGCAATATAAATCGACGTTATCAATCCTTTGCTCTCGCAGTTACCGCCTTTTAGTGTTGCCGAGTCAATAATGGCGGGTTTCCTGCGTTTATCGATCGCCAATCCCAATCTCCAATGTTTAATATGATCACTTAGGTCTTCGGTTATTTCGCCCTAATATTATCTTTGCTTACTGTATTTCATAACGGAGCTTTCACTGATAGCCCCCATTAGGGTACAGTAGCTTAAATGAGAGAATGGCCATTTTTTTCAACATTTACGAATAAAATACTGTATAAAGCAAGAATTTATCAGATCGATCGGGAAATTGTAAAAAAAATAAACGGATTCTGTTAATATCTTTAAATTTTTGTTGTTATTATCTCAGTGCACAAACTTTCATTCTGTTCAAGTAATTAATACACCGAGTATTTTTTTTAAATTCATACTATCTCTAATAAACGGGTTTAAAATGAATTTATTTGTACAGTAAGTTAGATTTTTTGCCTCCAAATTCTAACTTGTGTCTCTCGACTTATATAAATCAGGATATGTGGAGGGGTGTGGGGATGACTATAATCAGATTATTCTAGGTCCAGGTCTAGACAGGAATGTTCTGTAGGCCGCCGTTAAATCCACGTTTATACTCTGGCTGGGCCCGATACTGTAGATGCTAGATGCTAGATGCTAGATGTGATCCTAGAGCCAGTTCCAATCATCCTCACAGTGCGAGATACCGACTAATGGATGTTTCCCATGACCCTGGGTCGTGTTTAGAGGCTCTTTTATCTGATTTCAAATTCCCGAGAGGTGTAAAAGGATACTTGGACTGTGATTTTGTCATAAGCTTGTGAAACTCGTTAAACATCTGTAAGATTTGTGTACATTAAAAGTTTCTAGCTGTAATAAGTATTGATACATAAAGATGCATTATTTAAAAGAGAATCCAACTATTGGGTTTAAGTATAAATTTGACACTGTAGTATTGAAGATATAATGTCAGAAAGTGAACATAAACTTTAACAAACACTTGTAACGTTTAATTTTGAAATAAAACATTAAAATACGACTGAAATGTATACAAATTGTATAATTTGTAAAATGATGATTAGTTAATAGAATAATCGTTGATAGTTTTTTCATCTTTTGAAATCATAAATCACAACGAATTTGTAGTAAGATCTTAGTAATTATTTTGGCTCTTACGAAATTTAATTTGTACCCACAAAACATCTCGCGTAGCATGTTTTTGCACACAACTGCATAGTCAGGTTATTTTATTGTCTTTAAATGTTTAGCCAATACTAAGCACATTTTAATTTCACCACGAGTATTTTAGCATTGTCGCTGCATTAGCTTTGAATATGTTTTACCAAAGCACGACAAACCCTGTGCACTCTTATTTGCTTTCAGTTACTTTTAAGTTTTGTTACATATTTTACTTTGCTCCGCCGCTTGTCGCACTGTGCTGCATGGTTGCATGTTTACAGGCAACTGACGGACAACCAGATCCACACCATAGAGAAAGGTGCCTTCCAGAACCTCGAGTCTCTAGAGCGACTGTGAGTATTGAGTATTATCATACTTTCTTTAACTACATAAATCTATCATAAGTAGGGCTACAATATTATAAAATGCGCTAGTCCTTCGTTTGAGGCATTGTTTTGTATCTATAACCGTTTGTTTTGTGGTTTGGGGAGACCAACTTACTGCAGTTATGTTCTCTTAGGTATCGTATTTTTCTAATACTAAAGTATATCATTAATATACATATCATTGTACATTTGAGGTGTTTTACTTCTGGTACCATTCATCAAACTTAACAAAACAAAATGTAACCACATACTTAAATTACAAAGTGCATTGCAAAATCCTGCTAACTATGTCCGATAGGTTAACGGTGTTGGCAACATTGCTGTAAAGAATAATAGCCACTATAGTAGACCTAATAAATGACAATTAATCGTTGAAAATGAGGAGCTATCTTTTCAATCACAACAATATGGTTCACAGTGTAGTTCAGTGAAAGAACGTTATCGAACTACTTAGATCTTAGACCGTAAATTGAACTACTTTAAATTATATTTGGACTGACACTTTGCCCCCTAACTCGACAAGACAATAGACTGGATTTTAAACAGCTCTCAGACCAAATGGTCAACCGTTTCTCTACAATCCGTCACAGTAAATAGGTCTGACCACTTCATCATATACGATACCATCTATAGGCCCGCCCTCGCCAGCCTACTCGCTGCAGGCACTCGGTCATCATATAGCGATCACTGCCGACGGGTCACTCAATGTTTTACCCAATGTATACTTATTGACACACTCCGTGTTTTAATTGTAAAACAATGTGTCGTATCAAGCTATATTTAACTCATTAATCACTGTTAACAACATTTTCCATAGTTGGGTATACAATGTGTTTTGTGTTATGTAGCTAAATAGTTAAAGGGCTCGCCTGAAAATCTGAAGCTTCCCATTTCGATAGGCCTACTGAAAAGTCTTTTTGAGGGTTCGGACTCGTCCCAGCTTCCTAGCTCCCGAATAAAGAACAATCTGATACAACCCAGTCAGCATAAAAATTGTTGGATAAGAAAATAAATTGTTTCAAAATTGTTTCAAAATGGTTTCGAAATTGTTTTAAAATTGTTTTAAAATTGACAAATTTGGAATTTTGTCTATATTAAAATGAGTTTAAAATTGTTGTACAACAATCTCAAAATTGTTGTACAACAATTTCAAAATTGTTGTACAACAATTTTAAAATTGTTATAAAATATTTTTGAAGTTGTTTTAAAACAATTTTGAAATTGTTTTAAAATTGTTGTATAACAATTTTAAAGTTGTTGTATAACAATTTTAAAATTGTTGTATAACAATTTTAAAGTTGTTGTATAACAATTTTAAAATTGTTGTATAACAATTTTAAAGTTGTTGTATAACAATTTTGAAGTTGCTTGGAAATTGTTTTAAAATAGACAAATTTGGAACTTTGTTAGGGTTAATTTCTATTTGAGTTCATAAATTATAAGTACGCCTATAGCAACTAATTAAATATAACATTAATTGATTAGTTTACTATCAAAACAATGGTGAATAAATAAAGACAAATAAGTATACTGAAATTCTTCTATTTGAAGAAAACAAATTTAAAAAAGTAGAGAAATAATACAAACACAGTCTATTACATTCTGGATTAAAAAAGTAGAAATGGATGCATGGATATAAAAATAAAATATTCATGGACAAACTTTAAGTTCTCTACCAATAAGCACAGAATAAATTATTATCTTTTCAATTGCAAAGTTAACATTGATATATAGCAATCATTAGTTTGCCCAGGCCTAGACCTAATTATTTAGGAGGGCTTTTATAAACTAAGTAACAAACAATGAGGTTAAAATAGCAGCAAATTATCATCATTCTAGTTTATAAGATTTAGATTGCTTAAAGCATACAACACAATAAATAAATATGGGGAACAAAAAAATATTGAAACCCAAACAGCCAACAATATAAGACAAAGATACATGAAATGCAAGGACATGATTTTTTGAGACCAAGTAGGCCTGTGTGATGATACAAATTTAATGCAAACAACAATGCTCGGTTTTGTCAATTGAAAGATAAAATGTCCATAAAAAGGATTTAACTTATAAAATAACACTGTATATTAATTTGAAATTTAATATGAAACTGTAAACAGTTTTAAGGGAGTAGGCAACGGCCAGCGGCAAATTGAATCTTCAAGATAAAAGTACAAGTTGAATTTAACAGCTAATATAAAACTATTATTTCCATGATCAAATAGGTTTGGGATCTAATGATAATTACCCTAGTAATAAATAAATAAGTTGCCAAGGAATGTCAGTGATACCTACAACTTTTATGAGCTTTGCTACTGAGTCATAAGTTTTTTGAAGTACTTGACTTGATGTGATTGTCAAGATAAAATATTTATGGCTTTGAGACTGCTAATGTGGTTTCTATTGCATAATTACTCTATAGTAATAACTGACGAAAATGTAAGCAAACATTTGATAAAAAACCTTTTATGTTCTTCTAACAAATTTTTATGTCATACTTAAAATGGCCCACACAACTATTTCCACAAAAACAACAACAATTTCCATTAAAAACTACCCATATTTACTAAAAACAGTACATTTTAGTAAAAAGATAAGTTCATTCCCGGATTTCCCGGTTCGTAGACACCCTGACAATACATTATTTACACATCATTCAAGCGTCGGCGGCTTCATGATCCTCATCTTCCTGTTCTTCAGGTGCTCTTTGACATCCTGCCCTAAAATTATAACACACAGATTAATATTATATTTCGTTACTAGGGACTCCTGAATGTTTACAGCAACAGCTGTTACGTTAAGCAAATGGCATTATAGCAAAAGCTAGTCTAGAATGTTGAAGTCGGCTGCTTGACTTAACAAAACGAAAACTTAATTTCTAAAAAACTGAAACCCTAAACTAAAATTGTGTCTTTGACATTCCCTAGTTCTCAAAATTATCTTTCTTTCGACACAAAAATTGTGAAAATCCATCAAGTGGTTGATTCAGAATCGTGAAATAAAAAAACCCTGACAAGAATTAATGATTGTTGCAGTATTTGTCTGAGATAAAGAAAATCACCTGAGCTTTAGTATAACAATATACTATCGAAACTGAAGCATCCGGAATGAAGAGAGAAAGCTAGTAGCACATTGCTTTGTTAGCCTATGTTTTTAACCTCACTAAGTGAATTTTGTAATACAAATTATCACACTATACATACCCTTTCTAAGTCTTTGATTTTAATTGTGTCTGTGCCAGCCATGAAGCAACTGATTTCTCTATTTTGCTTTGTTCAATGTTGGCCCATCTCTTCTTCGTCATTTCTTCAAAAAACAAAATGCATTTAATAGAACATTGAAAAAAATATTTTCTGCAATTTTTGTGGGGTTAACATTTCTCAAAAATTATATAATAAATGAATAGCCTAACATGTATGTTTGCACTCAATATTTTTTTTTATAATTTATAAGTCTACAAATATTTTAAAATAGCCACTTTGTTCTAAATTTCATAAGGATTACAAAAATATAATAATATAAGGAAGTAAATTTAACCATAGCTAGGAATCTGGCCAATAATTTACATCAATATCACTACCGGACCTACTTCTTCAGGATCATCAACCGGCCCTTCAAAATCACTTAAATCTTCTTATAATGCACCACGTATATCACTACTTTTTATTTTTAACACTAAAACAATGGAAACGTTTAATAAAACACATCAGTCATCGGTGCGAGGTTAACCAAGTTGTTTACAAATACGCACGTCAGCTGTCTGCTAAAATATTTTCGGAACTAAAATGAAAAGCGTATAGAAACAGACATCAGGAGAAAGCTTAGAATCTGCCGAAAACAATACCAATCTCGATCCAGTTCAATCCTGATTAAGTCAGTCCCAGAGCCTTCGCCATAAACGATGTTTGTGTGTCGCAAAAGCGACGCATAACACCACGGCGGGTGTGTTGTGCGTCGATTACGCGACGCTTAACACTCGGAGGGTTAAATTTTGAGTTAACCAAGTTTCAAGGTCTAGTAAGTTAACATATTTGTAAACTTAACTTAATAGAGTTGAAAAACCCCTGCAGCCCTTAACCCTCCGAGTGTCCATAGTTTAGGCCTTAATGTCCGCCTATTTTTGGCGCATATGCAAGGTTTTATTAAAACGGATCTGAAAAGCTTAAAACAATGTTAATTCTACTGTTCTATATAGCATTTTGTTTGGAAAATCATGGGCTTCAATATCATACATAAAGCCTAAGGAATATTTGTTTAAAAAAAAATTGTTTAGGTAAAAATAAAAATTATTTTGGAAAAATTGAAAAAAAAAATAAGTTCGAGCTCAATGAAATTGTATAAATTATAGGCCTATAAATATTTGAATAGCCACTTTGTTCTAAATCTTATGAGGATTACAAATATATAATAATATAAGGCAGTAGATTTGCAAATAAATAAGTTATGGGCAAAAAACAGATTTCAGTACATAGCGTTTAGCTAAGAATGCATAGCCTAACCATAGCTAGGAATCTGGCTGATAATTTACATCAATACCACTACCTACTTCTTCAGGATCATCAACCAGCCCTTCAAAATCGCTTAAATCTTCTTATAATGCACCACGTATATCACTACTTTTGATTTTTAACACTAAAACAATGATAAACATAATAAAACACATCAGTCATCGGTCCGAGGTTAACTAACCTGTTTACAAATACGCACGTCAGCTGTCTGCTACAATTACGATCGGCTCGGAGAACATAAAGCGCTTAGAGACAGACCTCTGGAGGAAGCTTAGAATATAATGAAAAGAACGATACCAAACTCGATCCAGTTCAATCCGATTTTGTCAGTCATAGAGCCTTCGCCGTAAACAGTGTTCGTGAGTCGCTGCAGCGACGCATGACACTACACAAAGTGTGTTACGCGTCGCTGCAGCGGGGTTAACACAACAAGTTTAAAAATAAGCTAACTTAACTTAAATCAATCCCTAGCTGATGTAACTTAGCTAGGCCTAAGCCTAAATACCTAGTCATATTACTTTTAAGCAGTTACCGCATTAGGCGACAGGCCCTACAATGTCATTTTCTATTTGAGTTGGGGACGCCACCTAAGTGAGTAATTCAATTCAATTATGAGTTTATAAACTTAATGTTAGATGCCTTGTGTAAGTTAGGTCTAAGTTATTTTAGTTTTGGTTACTGTAAATCCAACTGTATCATTTAGCAACGACCATTTACTAAAAACTCAACGGTAACTTACAGTTTCAGTAACATAGCCTGTTATATTTATGAGAAACAAAAGGAAATTAATTAGAGTTTGCTCACATAGGCTAGGCCGATTCTAGAGATGGGCCATAATCATGTTACCTACCAAATACCTATCAAAGTTATTGGTTAACTTAGACCAGGAACTATTGGAGTAGGCTACCTCTATTTCATTTTAGGTTAGGCCTATACGTCAGTTTAGAATAACTGAATCACCACTGACTGAAAAGGCCTAAGTAAGTTATAACTCACCTTGTTTGCTGCTTAAGAAGCTATGTAGGATAAAATCAGTAAACTTGATGCAACTTATAACTTTTTAAACACAAACAAAATGCCGTGATGCCCGTCAGTCGTCAGCCCGTGATCAAGATCAAATCAACAGACTGGAGACTGCTGTAGTCAGTGAACTGCGAAACTCTGGTAGAGTCTAGAGTAGATGATACTTGTAAGAATGTTAAAACTCTTCCAGTATACTTATACAATTACAAATAATAAATAATTTATTTTCACGACTGTTAACCTGTTGTTATTAACCATTAAACTTATACAGGTTCCGCTTTAACTTGAGTTTGGTAGTCTGCCCCTCCTCCATCATGACTCTTTCACTTGATTTTACCACTATCGTACTATCTAATCAAAATCGCGGGGAGCTGTCGTTGCTGACGCATTGGCACATACACACAGCACGACACACTGACTATTATCCTACAAGTATAAGTGTCCCATAAGGAAAAATAGAAAAAATGCGCGAACGATTTAAAATTTGGGCGAAAAAACACGAAAATCATTATACTGTAAATCTTTTTACAAAACAGACTATTTCAAGATTATGGATGGCCATTGTAATTTTTGTAACTAATATTACTGAAAGGAAAGCCGCTTTCATAAATATAATATCCAGAACATTTTGGTTTTAACATTAATTATTATTTTAATGATTTTTAGAAGTTTCATTTAAATTGGTTTAAAACAATTTTAAGATTGTTGTAAACTTATATCAATACAATTGTGATACGTGTTTTCGAAACATTATTAAAATTGTTTCAAAACAATTTTAAAACTGTTGCAAACTTATATCAAAACAATTTTGATATGTGTTTTCGAAATAGTATTAAAATTGTTTTAAAACTATTTTAAAATTGTTGCACACTCATATCAAAACAATTTTAATATAGTTACTAACCATCTATATTAAAACAATTTTGAAATTGTTTAAAACTTATATTAAAATTGTTTTATATCCAAACTTATTTTGAAATTGTTGCAAACTCTTTTAAAATTGTTGTACAACAATTTTTTTGGCTTTTCAACAATTTTTATGCTGACTGGGAAGTAATAGTAACAAAGTCACAAATCAACTCCATCGTCTCTCACTAATCTTATGCTTGTGTCACGACTGTGTAGCGTCCCATCTCATATATTAGTGGTACTGTATAGTGATGTAATGGCGTGGAAATTAATCCTTATGATCAATAAGATGATCAAACATTTTGTAAATTGATTAGCTTCTCTAACAAATCAAGCATTTACACAAACACGTAAATGTTAAGCAAGGACGTCGGGTTTTCTTACAATTTTTATGTATGTTTGAAATCCCGTTAGAAAAGGTATAGTTCCCACAAATATACGCAGTTACTCGATGTGTTTTCTAAGATGAGGCTATGCGAGTCACATAAATATACCGGAGTCTTTGTGTGAGACCGTAAACTACCGAGTGTAGGGGAGACTCACTCAGACCAATGGGTTGTGGGTATAAATCTGCCTACAGTGATCCAACAGGTGATGTATGGTGAATACATGCATTACATTCACACTTACACTTACTCGTCTGCAACTGTATATTGTACGTGCATAAGGGAATTGGAAGTGGTACAGAGGGACAATCCAACCAACAGTTTCAGTGTATTAAGGGAATTTCACCTATGTCAGTAGACAAGGGAAATTCTACTGTATCAATGTAAAATAAAAATTCAACGTTCAAGGAAGACGATAGGCCTATTGTAACAGTTTATAAAGGAAACGTTCCCGCAACACAAGGACTACATACTATTAAAAAACTACCAATAAACATTAAGACATTTATGGAAGGGAAAAGTTTGATGTGTACATTGTAGCCTATTAATAATGTTAACGTATTAGGGGAATAAATTATAAAATTTGATTTTATTGATGATTTACTCCCTTACAATATTGTCCACTTACTAAAATTAAAAAAATGGTCTGATTGACGGTTAAAATTACTTAAACAATATATACTGCAATTCTATTCAATTCAGACAGTTGGCCGAGTGGTTATAGTGCTCGCATTCAAATCTGGCGTCGCTGATTCGATTCCAAGCGAGGTCGTTACTGGACCCAGATGCGATTTGTCGTTGAACTACCAGTTCATACTGTATATGCTATCTAACACTAAGTTCGACGTTTAATAAATAAGACCGGTATCTGGAACTTGCCCTACAAAAAGACGTAAAAATACCAATCGCTTAAATACACTACTTTAAATAAATTACACATTTAAGGATTGATAATGATTTGAAGTCGTAAAGGATTTATTAAATAACCATAAAAACAAAAAAATGGAGAAAAAGTACTTGTACTTTGATTTACTTAGACTTGTACTTAGAGTTCTTTCTTAGCACTCATTCTTACAATGAAATAATGTACGTTTTTACAATACTATTAATAATTTTTTTGAAAAAGAAATTCCCCAATGACGATGTTATTTTTGAAATTCAAACACTCTCTCCTGTAGGATATAATGAGTTATAGAGTAAACAAGTTCGGCCACTGTTCGCATTGCAAATGTAAGCGATGCGAGCTGTTTTGGTCGGTCGGGTGTTGAAAGGCCGAGTTATTCACTGCTGACTCTTGTTTATCCAAACATCCCGGTCAGCATTCTCCAACTTATGGCCGTAAATCCTTCATTTAAACTGCTCGCCGCACTCAGACGAGTAAAAACAGAGCGCTCGTTGTGTGCTTACCGGCGCACTGACACACCGCTCACTCCTCAATGTTATTTTTATATTAAAAGTATCAACTCAATCTTATCATCTAAAACTGATATTTTATGAGACATACCCCTACCGCTGCGGACTAAACAAATTTCCATTACCCTGGTTGGATTATCATTAACGTATTTCCTTAAAATCTATTCCCTATTTAAGAAACGACAATTTCAGTGAGTACGTAGGTTTGTTGCTACAAGGAATGTTATACAGTGCAAATGTTATTGACAATAAAACAATCTACATTTAAGAAAGAAACAATTTTCTCTGAATAATTCCAAGAGAATATCAAGCAGGATTTAAATGTTGAAGAAAACTATTTAGTGAATTAACACCGTGTTGCAACAAAACCTGCCAGAAATTTTAAATTCATACTAAATTGATCACAACATTATTACCCTCTTACTAGGCCTAGCTGTAAAAAAAAAACAGATTTCGTTTCTAAAGTAGTAAAACTCTGTTAATTATTTATTTAATTTTTGTGTGTAATTGAGCATATGTATATGTATTTATTGCGGACTTTATGCATCTCGATTAGTAAAATACCCCCGCCGCAGCAAACCTGCAGACTAAGCGAATTTCCATTTGACTGATTGGATTTACACTGAAATGTCTACTTAAAAATAGAACATTTATTCCCTATTTAAATAGAATTAGTTTAACAAGTACTTAGGTTTGCTGCATCAGGGAGGGTAAAACTGTTCTTTTTTTTGTAAAATGTTAATAGTTAGTAAGAAATAAAAATATTTTTCAAATTTGATCAAAATATGTTCATAAACAAGCAAACTACAACAGTTTACTTATTCTCCATAAGAATAACATTGGAATTTTAAATTTACAATTTTTTGGAATTTTCTCCGTAACCATTAGGCGCATAATAACGCTTCAATATACTAAATTATTTGTTTTTTTAAGCTCTACAAAATGGTTTGAAAAGAAATTGCTAAATTTTATGTTTTTTGGGTAAAAATAGGAAAAACCCCCCGTAAACCCCCGTTCCCATGGTCCGATCATGCTGGATTGCGAACTCGTTCGAATAAACGTAGGTTTACACGTTTGTACCAAATTTCATCAAAATCGGATCATTTTTGCTCGAGTTATCGTGCTAACGGACACACATATATATATATATATAAATATATAAATATATAAATATATATATATATATATATATATATATATATGAATTTGAACGGATGGTGTTTTTGGCCTCTAGGGACCTCAAAACGAAAAAAAAATCGGTCCCGCGTCCAGGTCTTACCATGAGTACTACGGTAATAGCTTATTCCCTATATGGGAAATTCGCTAAAACAAAGTTTAGCCTACGTACTCTTTGCATATTCCCAGCTTTGGCTGCGTTTTGGTATTAATCTTGTTATCTTGTTAAAATACTTTCTCAACTGTTGACGGGATCAGATTCCAGATTCCGAAACGTCGTGAAAGCCTTGTCTCTAGGATATATCCGCAATAATCCATTAGATTATGTAAATTGACAATGCAATCTAATTTAGTTAATTTTCCAACATATTACCTTTGACTATTATTAATATAACTACCAATTAATATTAATATAAGTATCTAATAGTCAATGATATTACTGGAATTTTCAACTAAAACGTTTGATGATAATTGTAAGAGTTTTATAGTTGAATTAACATACATTAATATACAACAATACCGGATAGTCATCATCTCCAATCGTCTCAGCAGAACACGTGTTGGGTGTAAGCTCTGTTAACCGTATCCTGGTAACACGAGTAATCATTGTCTTACTGTCAGCTTCGTCTTCGTTCGTCCTTTGTATCCTTACTCTCATCAGGATTCATTAAATATTCAAACTGTTTAGCCTATATCGTTGTATCAACGGAACGTAATAGTACTCTGCTCATTTGTCACGGCTCATTGTCTTATGAAATGTGTTCTTATATTATTGGTTTCATGTGAAATTATCTTACATTCCACGTAGTTTTGGATGAGGACAGACAGATCTAGACATTTCATTCTCTTTAGAAAATAAATTAACTTAGTAGAATTGATCATTGGAAGAGTCAGCCAAAGTAAATTACTGACTCCTGTAAAATACACCCTAAAATGTAAAACAATACTTTGCAAGCTTCAGTGTCTTCTACCACTACCAAGTGTGTAGGAGTGATAGGTGTTATCAGCCAGTGATTGATGTCCGTCTATCGTCTGATTCCTACTTGCACTAATGTCTTCCGATACTGTTGTTGATACCTGGAATCGCTCAGCAATCTCACCCATTAGGAAGTCGTACTTCCTTCGTGTGAAATGTTTCTCTCTTTGGTGTGAGCTGGTAATCGTAATCAACATTAGAAATAATATTTATATCATACTAGCTGTTACCCACGGACTTCACCCCGTTTTACCTCATACGAATTAATCAAATTA